GGACAGGCAGAGCGGAGTTTAGGGCTGTTGTACATAGGGTCGCTATGAGTCGCAGGCGACTCGACGGCACATAACAACAACATAGAAATATGTAGAAGTTGTCAGTTCTTTTGAACAAAGGAGAAAGTTAACAAGGAATCAAAAATGTATATTTTGGAGAGAGAGAAAAGCCTTGATAGAAAAATTCCATTATGTTAATGATCACTATAGTTGGTTGAGTGACAGGGTTTTGCTGGATGTCCTCTGCCCTACACATTCTTTATGCTCTGCTGGGCCAGGAAGCTAATCGGTATTAACTGTCTCAATGGACTGGCTCTCTTGTCTTTCAGATTTGTTTTAGTCAATTGATAGTCCCAAGAGGCTGGACAGAAAGATGTAGTTAAAGTTGGGGTATCTGTTCTTCTGTCCCTTTAGAGAATTCCTGTGGTCTAACTAATCCTTTGATGGGAAGTCACAGTCCTCTCAAGGAGATCTTTTTCACCTGACTGTTATTTGAATTAATGTCACCATTTGCTGTTTGAAGCCTCAGATTTGTTAACAAAACCACCATTTCTAATCGCAGGATTATCTTTGGTTCTTTCCCTTGCCTTCACCCTTCCCAGAGATACTTTTGCCAAGTAGTGCACTCTCAAAGCCAGGATACAGGTGTTTGCTTAAAAAAAAAAAAAGTTACTTGCCATAAGTTATGTCTTGATTAAATGAATATATATTTACATCTTGTTTTTCTCGTAGATCCAAGAGTTGAAGACTGGCTCCTCATGTCCTCGCCTCTTCCACAAACCATCATCCTTGGACTTTATGTCTATTTTGTCACTTCTCTGGGACCCAAGTTCATGGAGAACCGGAAGCCCTTTGAACTCAAGAGAGCGATGATAACGTACAATTTTTTCATAGTCCTTTTTTCTGTGTATCTGTGTTATGAGGCAAGTGTTTTCAGTATTCCTAATGGGAAAATTTCATCTGAGTCCTTGTGTTTATGTGTCATATGTTTTCTTGTCTGTGAGGGCAAATCTTTGAGATTTAAGGGACTTTAGATATTGAAATTGTTGTTGTTGTTGCAAGGTATTTATATACTCCAAGACCAGATAATACATTCTTCAGATTTCAGTATAGATTACACTTCACAGTTGCTGAGAAAGGTAAACATCTTGTCCAGGTACTGACATGCAATAAGCCTTAATAAATGATTAAACAAATGAATATGTAGTAATTTAGGACAACTCCATATTTGAAAAAATTAAATAACCTACTCATTGTGACATTAGCTGGTAAGTGGAAGTCTGATGTTTGATCCAAAGTCTGTGTGGTATCAGTGCTTATTCTGATTCTGTAATGAGTTTTGTCATCAAGAGATGCACTTTTGGGTTCTGCGTGCTCCAGTGAGACATAGAGGTGTACTGAACTGAGAACTGAGACTCATCTGAGTAGTTAATAAATGGGTCTGTCCCAGTCATTAAAATAACAGAGATGTTTCAAGACCCCAAAGAAGACGTAGATTCTCTTTCTTTTTGGCTATTTATATGCCTCAGCCACTGTCATTTGCCAGCCTCTCTAGAATCCAGAGCTGCTTTTCCAATTCTAGTGTCTTCATCTTCACCTTCAATTCCTTTGCAACAAAGCATATTCTTAAAACTGGGACTCATTGGGGCTCTCTTCATATTACGGCTCCTGCACCTGAATTTCTTCAACCTTTGTCCTACTGCTAATCCACATGGTAGAGAACCACCTTTCACCAATGTTAGTCTTTAGATTTCACAGACCTGCTGAAAGCTGGACTTTGCTACATTCCATTTATTCTATTTCCAAAATTAATTCCCTCTTACTATCCTTCCTGGAATATGAGCATCTGAAAGTGAAAGAGTCAGAGGAGAGGGAAGAGAAATACAGACTCTTCATGTGCAATCAGAGATAGAATCTAGCAAAGGACCAAAGATAGCATCTAGCATACAATAGTACAGTGTTAAGAACACAGCTGGGAGCAGAGGGCTCAGGGGAGTAGGTAGGCCTGGTTATGCAACCAATTATCCACCCAATTTTGAATAAACGGAAACTTTATGGTTCTTTATCTTGTAGAGTCAAGAGTGACTCAGATAGCTTCTCAGACCCTTTAAGTTCAGATATTCTTAGGCTCTGTGTCAATGTCAGTGATTGCAATGTCCCTAACTGTATTTCTCAGACTTAGAAGGGATCTATTATAACTAGTTAGTTTGGGTTTACACTTAATAGCTACATAATAAAGGCACTCAGGTGACTGTGATGTGTTGCACTGTTAACCAAAAGGCTTCGTCTCTGGCAGTTCGAATCCACTAACTGCTCTGAGGGAGAAAGTTGGGCAGTCTCCTCTTCCTATGATTAGGACTTTGGAAATCTGATGGAGGGTGACTATGAGTTGGAACCAACTCAACAGCAATGAGTGAATGGTACCATAGTGTATTAACATGTTGTACTGCTAACCCAAAGACTGGAAGTTCTAATCCACCTGCTGCTCCTTGGGAGAAGGATGGGCTGATTGCTCCCATAAAGGTGTAGAGCCTCATAAACTGATGGAGGGTCACTCTGAATTAAAATCTACTCAAAGGCAGTGGGTAATTAGAAATAAAAAGAAAGTGCAGAAATACTTGAATTTAAGACAGTTTTTTATCTCCCATAAACCACTAATGGACAGTCTCCTCCCAGGCGATTGCGATTGATTTACAGCCTCCAGAAACCCAGCCGAGGGCCAACTATGAATCACTTCTAGCTCCACAGAATGAGGTTTTTGGGTTTTTCCCCTCCAGCTTAACTGCTAATATTTCAGTTACTTATGCAGTCAGTAGTAGTTTCAGAGTTTCTTACCTGCCAAAAAGAAATTCTTCCTCTTTTTACTACTAGGCCAATATAGAATGCTTAACAGACTTTTGGAAAGTTCATAGACTAAATATCAGAAAAGCAGTTAAGTCTCAGTTTGTAGAAACAAAGACGTTTCCCAGGCACACAGCATGTCATCTCAAGGCACATCGTCACACGTGGCTTCTATGTGAAGCACCAGTCATCTATACAGCATAAACACTTCCCTGGGAATGTTAGGCCAAAACCCAACAAAGTGAAAACACATGCATCAGACTGAAGGAATATATGTGCTTTATTTTACAGTGATACCGTGAAAGCACCCAGTCAAGCATAAAAAAGGAGAGACTGATTTAGATACTCAAAGAAGGCAAAATAACTATGAGTTTCGTAGTCAAGTCTGTGCTTATTTGTGGTAAAATTCATGAAAATCTTTCTTTTGCTTACAACTCAATTTAACTTAATAGCTCCTGGATTTAGGTGCCAAATAACACTAAAAATCAAGTCGGAGTGCAATAGAATATGAAAACTACACCACAAATGAAGTTTTATAAAACGGCATTAAGCCATATCTATGCCACCTAACCTAGTTTCTTTGAGAAAACAAACTGACCTGTTTTATAAAATATTTTTCTTATACAAGAAACATACTTCTTGAATTATTCTTTCTTTTCAAGGTTCCATAACATATATAATAGCAGTGTAGGACAAAGCTAAAGGACCAAGCTAGGAGGTAATGTCAGTGAAATCAGTCAAACCAGATCCAGTGCCATCAAGTTGATTTCAGCTAGTATTGACTCTATTAAGATAGAAGATTTTCACGTCCATAAATCCTTATGGATACAGAGTGTCTCATTTTTTCTCCCGTGGACTAACTGGTGGGTTTGAACTGCTAACCATTTAGCAGTCATACTCTTTAACCATTACACTACCAGACCTCCTAGGATCAGAAAAGGGCAGTCTTTTTATATACTTTAAATATTTGCTCTTCTCTCTTCCCTATTAAAAATATCCTTCTAAAAAAAAAAATCCTTCTGCTCCTACTTCATAACTTTTAGACGTTAATTTAAAATAAAGTTATATTGTTGCTGTGTATCGTGAAGTCAGAAATGACCCATAGCTCCAGCGGATTTCCAAGACAGTTATTGTGTGGGAAGAGATTGCTCTTCCTTCTCCTGCAGAGCATTTGGGGGAATTGAACCACGTGCCTATGGGATTGCAGCATAGATTCTTGCCACTAGGCCACGAGATCTCCCAGAAGTTATATTAGCTTCAGTGTAGTTGAAAAGATAAAATGTGCTTCAGTGATAGACATCCTAGAACCATTAAATCCCAAAAGACGACTTTGCAGGAAAGTCAAGAGAATAGAATTTTAGATGGGAACAAACCGTCTTAGCACCCTGACTTAACGTACTTGTTTAATACATGTGTTGATTTAAGATTAGAGCCCTCGACTTTCCATTTTCAGATAGTGTTTTAAACGCTCTTCCCACCATCAGACTTGCAAGAATGTCAGTATCATCTTTGAATTAGAATTCAGCCTCATCAACAATAGGCTTTTTCTTCTCACACTAGTCTAAGGTCACTCTGTGGGAGTGTTGAGGGTAAGGCCCGCCACATTGCACTCTCCAACAGCTGCCTTCTGAGCAAGAATGTTTTCCTCTCTGACAGGTCATGTGAATCCAAAGCTCACCCAGGATCTGAGGCTTTTATACTGGTCACATTTTATTTTAAATGATGACACCAGAGTAGTACAGCCACACGGGCTACCTCTTTGCATCCTAACTAGTAGCAAAGTCAGGAAAAACTTACCTGTACATTGAGGAATTTTGGTTTGTCTGTTCGCTAATTGAGAAGATTAGAAATCATCAGAAGAGGCTGTATTTTGACCTTCTTATTCCCATTAGAGTGTGTGCACAGACACACACGCACACATATATATCAGTGTGCACACATATATATCAGTGTGCACACACTCCCAAGCATATCAGCATGAGAGAAATCAACTCTCAGTATTTGCTGTGTAAAAAAACACTATGTTTTGTTCTTTATGGAACTAAGATTGTCATCCCATGAAATAGGCATTTCAGTCAGTTTCTATACATAATACAAGTTTGTGGTTTTGGAAGTTCTCATTGCTGTGACATCAAGTTTGTTTGTAATTTGTATTTGTGTTCACAAGTCTCTCTCTCTGCAGAGAATACTGACTCAGTCAAGAGCCTCAAGAACTGATAGGATCAAAACCACTTTTCTTGTAGCCGTTGAACAAGTGCTTCCTTCTTTAACATGCATGTGCTCTCTTGCAGTTTGTGATGTCTGGATGGGGCACAGGTTACTCATTTCGATGTGAAATTGTTGATTATTCACAGTCACCTGAAGCTTTGCGTGTAAGTTGTAACTAAAAATCTGGGCTTTTATTTGCAACCTAGGCATGCACTAAGAATGACTTAGTGACTCCTGAGTCAGATCATATGTATTGTAAAATAAAATGAAATATAAATAAGAACCAAAGGAAGTCAGGTGGGTAGGTTTCTGTAATAGGAAAATGGGTGCTTTTAAAATTTCTCGGACTTAAAAATAAATTCCTATTTATGTGTGTTTCTGCAGATGGCACGCACCTGCTGGCTTTATTACTTCTCCAAATTTATTGAGCTGTTAGATACTGTGAGTATGTCATCACCACATTTGGTTAATGTTTGATACTTCAGTGAAGGCAATAAGCTTCTAGAGTTCTAATAACTTTATCTCTTCTTATAATTATTATCTTTTAGTATCAGACGTTTTAGAAACTAGATAGGATCAGCTTATGTTTCTCTGACTAAAAGAAAGAAAAAAACCCTCACATATCTACCACATAATTAAGATAATCATGTTAACTGTTGCACATATAACAAAACTGCCTTTATGTGGAGAGAGAGAAATCACATGGTGAAACGTTCAGGAAGCAAAGAGCTGAGAACATTTAACCTTTGGTTCTTTAGACAAAGCACTGTATTTTATCCTACGACAAAGCACTGTATTTTATCCTACGACAAAGTACTGTATTTTATCCTACTCCTTTAAGGATATAAATATTTCAAAATATGTAAACATATATTAGGATGTTAAATTAACCCTGGGGTGTAAGTAATTTTGATTGCACACAAACCATCCCTAGTTATCTTTCTGATGTCAATTATTACTGGGCCTACTCTCTTCATGGTTAAGATCCTGTTGGATCAAACCTGAGCTTGCATGACTGGGCTCTGGTTTAGGGTTTCCAGTAAGAGGAAAAAGCGCTACACCTGTGTTTTCAGGGTGGTTTAGAGAAGGAGGACCCTTGTTGCATCCCATTGACATGCAGATCTCGAGCCTATTCTGCTCTGAGGCTGACAAATGGGCTCCTCTCTTCCTAATATGAACACTCAATGTAGCAAACTTGGCATTTCCCCTTTAGGGTTGAACTTCTCACATAATTTTAGATGGGACTTTAGTAAACACCAAGTTCAGTGGTCCTCAGATTAATATGCATCAGCATCACCTAGATGGCTTTGTAACAGATTCTTGAAGTCCTTGATCTAGTAGGTATTGGATGGGCCTCAAGAATTTGCATTTTTAGCAGATTGTCAGGGGATGCAGATTTTGCTGGTCTGGGGATCACCTGTAAAGAATCTTTGCTATAGTTTAGTGGGCATTGGGTATTAGCCTTCATGGTGTGGAAGAATTACATTCTTTAAAGAGAAAAACAAAAAGAAAATAAACTATGCTTCACTCCCAGAAATGCCTGGTGATCTGGCACAGAGTCTGCGTAGGATTCTTTTTTTAAAAAGCTTCTCAGGGGTTATAATACATAGCATGGTGGAGAATTATCAACCTAGAGCCTCAGTTTGAATAGGAAATGAAGAAAGATTACCTTTATCCAGAGAAATACTACTACTTGGACCCTGGATCACTAGTTTATGGCTTTTTATGTTGCACCATGCTGCCTTTCCATGTGCATAAGCAAATGAACTGTGGCTTCATTGTTTTGGTTTTGCATGTTCTCATTTCTAATTTTCATAAGAAAACTCTTGCTGCTTCCTAAGTCCTCTTCTAATTGGTTTTTCTCATATACTCCTGTCAGTGTATTTATTTGTGTTATTCTGGGGTTAGCCATGCATTTCAAAATCTGTCTAATTGATTTTCTGAATTTTGCTTTTATATTAGACTTATTTATTAGAGATTTAGAAAGACAGAGACACAGGCAGGAGAAAATTGAGCAGTCCCCTCCTGTGCAGTTGATAGCCTCTGAAATATGTATGAGAGAGAGAGTGTGTGTGTGTGTGTGTGTGTGTGTGTGTGTGTACATGTACAAATTTTCCTCCCCCAAAAATCTTCCTATTCTATTCCTTGTTTAGGCAACTGTGCATTCCCATTCTCTCTCTGAAATTAACTCTTCATGTTTTCCTCCATTTACCTTTCTTTAATAATTTGCTCACTTCTGTTTTGTTGCAAATCTTTCCATTTGTTTCCACCCTTATCTGATTGGAAGGAGGTTATAGAGAGCAATGCAGAATAATTTCAGTTCTAAGATAGAAGATTCTTCTGCTTTCCTATATACTTCAAAACCTGGAGAGAAACACGCATGCTTATCTCAGCAGCATTTCTTTCCCTATTTTTGGCCATATGCTTTGTTATATGCTTGATTCTTAAAGCTGCATAAAATTTTCTTTCACTTACTGGTTCTCCTGTCATGCCCACTTTCCTCCATACTAATGAACTTTTGAACTGTCCTTTGGAGAATCAGCAGTTTCTGAGCACAGCCCATAGAGACACCCTTTCAAACCAAATCACAGTGTGAAATAGTTTTCACTTTACCAATATTTTTGTCATAGTAGATAAGTTATTGCATGATTTTTATATGAACTTGATTTTCTTTAAATTATTTCAGATCTTTTTTGTTCTGCGTAAGAAAAATAGCCAAGTTACTTTCCTGCATGTCTTCCATCACACCATCATGCCATGGACCTGGTGGTTTGGAGTCAAATTTGCTGCAGGTAGCCAAGGGAGAATTGGGATCATATGTTACAAGCAATAACATTTCTGTCTTTGATAAATGGCGTCCCTGGGTGATGCGAAAGGCTAACCATCTCAACTACTAATTGAAAGCTTGGCAGTTTGAACCCATCCAAGCAATACCTCAAAAGACAGGCTTGCCAATCTGCTTCTGAAGGAAAGATTATGAGTTCGACTCCATAAGTGCCATTCTGCTCTACTCACAATGAGTTTTCAAGAATCAGAATCAATTCCATGGTATGAATAAAAAATACAGCCTTAAATATGACTTAAAAGAAACTCATCTGGAGCAGCAGAGGAAGAGTCAGGGAGAGTGGGAGGAAATGCAATGTGTGACTGGCTAATTGGCTCCCTTGTCCGGAGACCCAAAATATGGAATGGTGCTTTGCTAGCATTACTCAATGTTTTGATCAAACATTCTACAAAAGAATACTGATCAAAAAAGGTTGGGGGGAATGTGGAACAGAATTTAAAATTCTCAGAGAATGCAGATTTTCCGAAGCCACTGAAACTGGATGAAATCTGAAGCTATTTCCCTGAGATAATCTTTAAAGCTTAAACCAAAATAGCCTCTACGTTTTCTCTTTTTAAAAAAGCAGGTTAGCCTAATTAGTTGAGAATACCTTCCTGAGCATCCTTTAAAAAACTGTCTATCTAAGATCATGTTATCAGCAACTCAGAAACATGAGGGACAGGATATTTATGCTAATGGAGGAGGAACAGTTTGGAAAAGGGCATGAGAATGGTTGCACAACTCAAGGAATGTAATCAGTGCCGCTCATTGTACCTGTGATGTTGTTGAGTTGGCACATATTCTCCTGCATCTATTTTCCAAAACAGTAAAAAAAAATATTAAAAAGAAAAAGAGAATTGCAAGGAAAAGCCTGGGCAAAATTCTCCCTAGTGGAAGAGTTTCATTTTGGCTTCAGGCATGTGCTTGAGGTGGGGTTTCCTGGAATTCATTTCCACTGGAATTAATCTGAAAGGTTGAATCACTCACTATGTGTTTACATTTGCTACTATAAATATTGATCTCAAACAAGTCTAAAAAAATCAGTGGTTTACCTGAGCACTATAATAACTTCTGACAGATTATTATAACATGAACTGTGAATGTAGGACCCTCAACTAGATTTCCCCATAACTCTTTGGATACCTGTGATTTGGGGCATACTTTTTGACAAATTTTCTTGTTTTGTTTTGATTTTTATTATTTTCTCATTGAAAGTTCTAAGTGAAAATGTCTTTAATCTTTAAAAGTGTAATTAATTAGTAATAAACAGACAAAATGGTACCTACTTTCACTTAGAGGGCTGTAGGTAGATAATGTTTGTCTTTTTACCAAGTCTTGTTTGTTTTCAAATACTAGTCACTGTCACTTACCCTGACCCCTACCAACTCTTTAAAGATGTGTCAGATTGCAAGTTGTTCCAGCTTCCCAAAGCATCTTATCGTAGTAAAGGATATGTTGGTATTTTTAAAAAGTAAAATATAATTTACATTACAAACTTAGCCAAATGAGCTCTTTTATTTGTTTAGTGTTATGCTTCTTAATAGCTAATATTAGGAAAATGGCATTTACACAATTTTACTTTTTGATAAGGTTTTAACTCTGTGCTCTTGTAAATGACATATTATTTATTACCTTATTTTCAAATGTTGGTTGGGAGGGTTGTTTATGCAAGTTTCTTAAATTTATAAAGTTGTTGTATCATCCATACTAGGTGATGTGTTGTATATTTTAGCATTGCTAAAATACTAGAATTTACTAGACTGTCTAACTCTCCTAGACTAAAAGATAAGAAATTATGTAGAAAGAACTTGTATTTGAGTTTTGTACAGAGGCACATGGTTCAAATCCACCAGCAGCTCCCCAGAGCAGGAGGGGCAGTCCCGTCCTGTGTGATCTGAAACCCGCCGGAGGGTTAGCTATGAGTTGCTTCTGACTCGATGATACCTAACAAATGTCCTAGTGTGGGGGAAATCGGCATTATCAGAGCGTGAGAAGACAAGGATGAGGCAGTGGCACAAGGGACCTCTTGTGGCCTAGTGGTAAGAAGCTGGGCTGCAGTCCCGAAGGCATGCAGTTCAAATACCAACTGCTCTGCAGAAGGATGGGCAGTCCCCCTGAGCAATTTACTGCCTCTGAAAACCCGCTCGAGAGTCAGCTGTGGGTCAGTTCTGATTCGATAGTCCACAAAATAAAAAATAATAATTGCTCTTAAACTGTAGGAAAACAAAAGTGTCATAAGGGCTGGGAAAGTGGGCAAAAAAGGCCTATCCCTCCCATGTGAGCATCAGGTTTTTCAGTGCATAACTTGGCTCAAAGTAATTACTAGTCTGCTGAGGAATTTTCTGAAGTTAAATGTAGCTGATTATGTAAATACTGATTTCTTATTGTAATAAGAGTCTAATGTGTGTCCATTTCACAAGTTGGGAGGGCTTTCTTATTTCATTCCGAAGTGCTTTGGGGTTGTTTTTTTTCCCCCTCAAACATATAGACCGTCCCTTTCAGTTCTTTCTGTGGAAGCTATTTATTCACATCTTCTATGTGTTGGTAAAAAATTGGATAATATAGAAAGAGTCACTATAATAGTTAAGAGATTTCATGCATACAAAATTGTGACGTGGAAATGATGGGAGGTTTTGGCTTATTATTGTCTCTGTTATGCATTCCTGCTGCTCAACACTTAAATGATCAGAAGTAGATGATGAGTCTATTTTTAAAGTACTTTGGAAGAGGTGTGGTCACACCCTTATAATTTATTTATTCAAGTTTCTTCCATGAGACCTGAATACTGTATCTAAACACTGAAAAAAGAAATAAAAATAGAACAGAATTGGTGTTCAAGCAGAAATGATTTGGAGATCACTGACACAGTGATTTTCCTCCTCTTCTTTAGCCATTTGAGTTTTCCAGTTTGTCTAAAATGAACACATACATTGGGAAAATAAATTTTATTTAAAGAACAGGTAGCTGAACTCTCTTTCCCTTACTTTCTGTCTGTGAGTTCATCATAAACCACCTTCCATTTCAAAACCAAATAATGGCTTTCAGTAATGAAAATTTAAACTTAATGCTAAACCTCAGTTTTAAATCTTACCATATTTATGAACCTAAAGTACTTTATAGTGGACTCCCTTTCCTTTGTCCACACCTGGATCTTCATTCCACTTTGTTGTCATTGTTGTGTGTTGTCAAGTCAGGACTGACCCATAGCAGACCCTCTAGTGGGTTTTCAGAGGCAGTAAATCACACAGGAAAAAACTGTCCATCTTTCTCTCCTGCAGAGCAGCTGGTAGATTTGAACCACACACCTTTGAGTTGGCAGCACAATTCCTCACCACTAACCCACCAGAGCTCCCTACTGGTGGCCTTAGTGGGTAAGGAGTTGCACAGCTAATACAAGGACGGGCAGTTCTAATCCAGCAGCACCTCTGTGGGGAAGAGATGAACAATCTCCTCTCAAGGGATTTACATTCTCTGACATCCCATATAACAAAAATATTCTACTTTACAAAATTTAGATAGAAAAGATAATGGTTCTTTAGCTCTTTCCAAGTATACATTCTGTGAGTTACCATTTTCGTTCCATTTTATCGATGAGAGTCATGCACTTTGTACAGCATGTCTCCTGTCTGTTCAGTGGCAAATACAATAAAAGCTTCAGAGATATTTCCAGAAATGTGGTTTGGCCTTGACTTCCAGTCCTAGAAAGAAACTGCTCATTTTATAGGGTTATTTTTAAAACTTGAACACAACTGATCCCTATTTGGTGTTTATCTTCCTGTTTGCCTGTGGCACTCCTTTTTTGGGTTATTAACAATACAGCTTTTCTTTTGAATGTCCAAAAATATTTCTGGGTTTTTTATGCCTATGCTCACATCAAGAGAAATGAATTGTAATTATGAAGGTGATATCTTCACACCAGCACACCCCCCGCTCAAATCTCCATTAAAAGAACAAAATATGATGGCCCTAATTATAATTCATTGAGAGATGTGTGCTTTTCTTAGCTGTTATAAAGAAGAGAGCAAGTTTACACAAATAGTTTATTTGAAAGCCTTTTAAAAGGTAAATGGCATTGCTACTGACATTAGGATTATTCTGTAGATATTTTTACTAAAAGAATTTATCAGAAAAAATCTTAACTAGAGAAAACAACTGGGTTAATTTTATGTGATGGTGCATTTTGCTCCATAATCCTGACAAAATGCTCATACAAGTGCTTTGCTACATTTCTGTCCATAAGATGCTGGGAAGGGTGGAGGGTCAGGGTCAGCAAAGGAGAGGAAGACCTTCGACCAGGTAGATTGACACGGTGACTGCTGTAGCCCGCTCTTGTGTATCAGGAAGAGTGAGGATGGTGCAGGATAGAGCAGGGTTCAGACCTTTTTTGTTCATAGGGTCACTATGAGTCACTCATACACAACTCGATGGCACCTAACAACAACAACAGGACCCTAATTAAGGCCACTTAAAAGGTGAAGATGTCTGAATGGAAAGTGGGTATTCTGCCACTAAATAATGAAAGAGATGAGAGTCGATTACCCGGTCAGCAAAGCAAGCACAGACTTGACTTGTGCTTACTTAACTAATCTGTGGTAAACAATGTTCACTGCAGATTAGTCAGTAAGCACAAATAAACCGTATTTTACCTTGCATCCTGGGTAATCCAACATTGGTGAGAAAGTCTCAGTGAGATAGTTCCCTGTCAGGAGTAAAATAGATTAGCTGTGTCTACAGAATTGTGAGACACAAACGGACTTGAGGAGGTATTTGACTTATCCCTTCCCTGAAGCAGCTTGAATCCCAAACTATCAGAAATAGACAGCACTTCTATTTTTAAATTACCCCAGAAAAGGTGTTTTCACACCATTATCATTTATTTATTCACGTTCCTTTTAGAAAAGAAGACTAATTCAGATGTAAATAATAAAATCTGGGAACTTGCTAATAAACTTAATTAATGCACTTTCTTCCTACTTGACATTTATGGTCATTAAAGAGCTAGCTAAATTTTTATTTACTCTGGTCAGGAGGGGCAAGTTTATAAAGCACAGTGTAAAGAAGTGAAAAACTGAGTTTGATTTCAGAAAAGAGACACATACAAAAATATTCTTAGCAATGTTAGCCATAAGGACCAAATATCTTTCAGCAAGAGATAAATTGTAGCCCATTCATGTAGTATAATACTACACCTATTAAGAAGAACAAACGACCACCTTACATATACTAGGACGACCAAATCTCAAAGGCTTTATATTGCCTGGGAGAAGACAGGCACAAGAGAGCCTAATGTATAATTCTATTTATATGTTCATTAAAGGAACAACAAATAATATATAATGGAAATCAGAACAAAAATTCCTTAGAAGGAGTCTGTTCTTGGAAGGAGTGTGAGGGGACTTATGTGGTGTTGGGACTGTTTCATGTCTTGATCTTGTTGGTTGCATGTTGTTGTTGTTGGGTGTGATAGAGTTGGTGCCAACTCATCTGTGACAACTGAGTGAAGCCCCTCTGCCATCCTCACAGGCTTTGCTGGGCTTAATCCTGTTGTGTCAGGCTGTCTAGTTTAGAGTCTTCCTTGTAGTTTACATGCACATACATAAAAAAATCATCAACCTCTACACCTCATGTATCTTAACTCTTGACAAAAAAACAAACTGATTACAGTGGCTCAGGACAGGAAAGGGTTCAGAGCTGCTGTACATAGTGTCATTATGCCTCGCAGGCAACTCAATGTCACATAACAACAATAACATACTATGGCAGGTTTTGAAGCAGGAGCTGCATGCACTTCCCAAACAACATGCCTCCAGAAACTCTGTGAACTTTGATAAATGTCGATAGTCGTAGAGGGGCTTCAGACCTTTTGTTCATAGGGTCACTATGAGTCATGCTCGACTCGAAGGCAATCAGCAACAACAACATTATCAAGCAACATAGTATATTTTAAAGAATACCCAATTCATTTTTAAAGTAAACTTAAGACCCTTGTAAAGTTAAGACGTAATAAATTAACCTTGCTAATGTAATTTTCCAAGATTTGCATCCAGTTTTACTAAAGGAACGTGTTAACCATTTCCTTCTAATTTGATAGCTCTTTTAACAGAGTTGAAATTTTATATATGTATTCCCCCCATTAAAATTCAAGAAATCTCAGGGCAGGCAGCAGTATGTTTTATTCTAGGAAGAAATGGCCTCATTTCACAATTCTTTTCTTTTCCAGGGGGCTTGGGGACATTCCATGCTTTTCTAAACACAGCTGTACATGTGGTCATGTATACCTACTATGGATTGTGTGCATTGGGACCAGCCTACCAGAAGTATTTGTGGTGGAAGAAATATTTGACATCATTACAATTGGTGAGTAACAATTTTCTCTAAACCCAGATTTGAAGCAAAATAGAATTACCTCTTCTTGCAATGAATTAGCACTCTAAAGAACAAAATTTATTAAACAGTAATAAAAGATACAACGTGTATGGTATGGTCCCCGTGTGGCCCCATTTCATTACCCTTTCTATATTATTTAAACATGGTCAGGATACTTATTGAACATAATGAAGCATATTTGAATAATGATGTTCAGACGATAAAACCAGAATGAATATCTTTAGACGATGATCAATATAATCTCTAAATTATGAGCACCTCAATAACATTCCATTAGATGTCAGAGCTTCCACACTCAAGTTCTAAATGACCTTGTTGAATTGTAACCTAAATGAATGTTGAGGCTTCTGTGCATAGGATTCAGATCCATTGTTCACAAGTTTGCTGTGAGTCATACTCAATGTGATGGTACTAACAACAACAACATGTGCTAATGTCTAGTCCTAATGTCTAGGAGTCTATCCTTTTCTGCAGCTGGGAAAAAGGGTTGTGAAGATCAAGGTTGTACTGAGACCACCATGTATGTGTTACATAAATTTTAGAACTGTCTCCAAATACACAATGTTCAAAAGAATGGTCTCTCCATTTAGACATAAAAATTCCTATTTTGCTCTGTTGGCTTAGTGGTAAGGAGTTATGCTACCATCCCCAAAGCACATGGTTTGAATTTGCTATCTGTGGAAGAAAGATGGGCAGTCTCCTCCTGTTTGACTTACTGCTTCTGAAAACCCAGTGGAGGGTTATCTATGATTCAGTTCCTACTGGATGATTGTTGTTGTTGTTGTTAAGTGATGTCGAGTCGCAGGCGACTCACAGCGACCCTATGAAGGAGAGTCCTCGACGCTTGGGTGCCTTTCTTCCTCTCTCCAGACTGGATGATACATAACAGTAATAATGAATATTAATGCTAAATGACTTTTTTTCCCTTGAAAATTAACTGTGGGTTTGTGAGATAATGAATTCTGCCAGGTTTTAGTCTATAATAAATTAATGTCATTTTCTGTTGATAATACCAGAAAGTCTGAGTTTTGGTATAGATATCCTACCAGTGTTCAGTTTTTATTTGAATTTTATATCTTGCTAGAAGCAATATAGTGCATTCACATAATGTGTTCTCTCAGAAGAGAAATAATAATTTTAGTCTGTAAATCTAGATTTAGTCTAAATCAAGACCAATCTGTCCTTATAGAGTTGTTCCTTGTATCAAAAATAGTCAACAACCTAAATGACTAGCAGTAAGAAAATGGTCAAATCATTTATGTTCATTTTTATGTGTGAGTATTTTAAAACTGAAAATTATTCAAATTCGAATTCTTTGAAAAGATTTTTTTCTGACTATAAAGTGATATAAACTCATTGCAGAGAAATGTGAAAATCTAGTTAAGAAATGAGAATATTAGTTTTACCACCCAGAACAAATCAACACTGAAATTTCTGTTTTGTTTTTTCCCCTATATTAAGTCTATATATGTCTATACACTTTATCATTTGTACTAAATTGCATATGTAGTTTTATATTGGGCTTTTTTCAGTTAACATACTTTTAAATGCTGTGAAATGTCATAATATCTAAAATACTTATGTATAGACATGGCTAGATAATAGTTTTTTATTATGTCAAATGTGTTAATTATACACAGACATACCATGTATACATGCAAGGTTAAGGTCCATTGTTTGCAGAGTTGCTATGAGACGTAGTCCACGGCATCTAATAAAAACAGCAGTCTAGAATATTGAGATTGTTACTTAGCCTTTCTATTTTCATCTTCAAAATGAGAAGAATAATTGTAGCTCACACACACACACACACACAAAACAAAAACCAACCCAGTTACTGTTGATTCTGAATCATGTTGACCTTATTTATACATTTCAGGGTAGAGTTGTGGTCCCTGGGGGTTTTGCTGGTAGATTTGTCAAAAGTAGGTTGCAAGGCCTATCTTTCTAAGTATCTCTGGATAGGGGTACCAACTTTTACTTACCAGTCAAGTGCATTTATCATTTCCACTACCCAGGGAGACTACCAGTTACACAAGAGTGTCATACAAATGCATTGAGAAAAAGATTTGCAAAAGGCTTTGAACCGTTAATAAATTTTTTTTAAAAAATGATGCATTGAGATATGGCAAAGAACATTGATGGTAATATTAAAATGGTAATGAAAAGGACTATTTCACAATTTTATGTAGTTAACACTGGGTAGATTATGGGAAATTGTTAACTCTCTCAGAGATTTTTTACTTCTCCAAATTTTCTACACAGCCCATGCTGCCTTTTAATGGGGAGAAAAGAGATATCCAGAAAGCTCTGAACAAAAGCCTAGAAAGTGTCCCTTTTCAAACTGCGGACAAAGCCCTTCCACACAGAATCCCGAGCCTTCCTAGAAAGGTCACCAGTACGCTCTCACCCTTTCCAGAGTCTCTTCTGCAGTCAGCAAAGAGGGCATATGTTTATTTATGAGAGTGGAGGACAGGTGGCAGGTGTGAGGATGTAGAAATGCTTTGGCCAGAGGGACTGCAGTTAGAATGTCCAAAAATTATTTTCCCAAGTAATTGGGGGGAAATTATTTTCCCAAAATGTAAATGCCTAGTCTATCAGTAGGATATATTATTTGACGTCAAAACTATCCTGAAATAATAAGCTGTAAAGCAATGGTCTGATCTACGTTTCGTCAGCGTCAAGGGCTCAGGTCAGAGATTGGCACAGGAAACCTTCTCTCTTGGCCGTCTAAGTTGTGAAAGGGCTGCGCCTCACCAAGGCATCGCAAAGGTATGACTGCTGTGTCATGTGCCCTTGGTGCCGCTTGAAGGGGGGCCACTACAATGTCTAATGAGCGTCAGTTGTCATCACCAGCTGGGAGAGATTATTCTGCAAGTTCAAATGCATAATTTCATATTTGAGACCCTTCGTGGGTTAGTGCAGACTGTGATCTTACTGTGCTGAGTGTAGGAAGAGAAGAAATTGGGAGGGATAAATCCAAACATTAAGTTCTTCACGGACCGATCTTCATCACTGAAAGCAAAGATTCCATTGTAACGTTTGTGTAGTACCATAATGCATTGAGTAAAAGATTAACAAGCCTGAATTTTTAGCCGATATTGTGAGATAGGTTTCAGCTGTTTGGACAAGGGAGAAGTTTCAGAATTTCCCATCAGTGCTGTTTTCCCAGGCCGTCCTCTGTCCTGCTCACCTCCTCAGAATTCACTCATTGCTGTTGAGTAGGTAGCAACTGATAGCTGAATCTCTGTCCGGTTTCCCAGGCTGTAAGCGGCACAGGAGGGGAGGTTGCTCATCTTTCTTCTGCATTGCTGCAGGTAGATCACAACCACCAAGAAAGATACCACCTTGGGGTTAGCAAGGCAAGTCCCTAAGGACTACCACCACAGAGCCTCTGTGCAACCACAGGGATAATTTAAATAGCGCTCCCCAGATTCATTCATATTAGCAGGACTAAGCAATGTTTCCAAACTCCTGTGTGGATTTAGACATTAAACCACCCTCTATTGCTCCAGGGAGGCTAGATTTATTACTTAATGAACCAATAGCCTTGATATGGGTGGAGGGTGCATGATTGTAAATGTAAATGAACAGGGTACATCAAGTTAACAATTAATGATTCATATATCTTTCATCTTTTAGGTCCAGTTTGTTATCGTCACCATCCACATAGGCCAGTTCTTTTTCATGGAGGATTGCAAGTACCAGTTTCCAGTCTTTGTGTATATCATTATGAGCTATGGATTCATCTTTTTGCTGCTTTTTCTCCACTTCTGGTACCGTGCTTACACCAAAGGTCAAAGACTACCTAAAACTGTGAAAAATGGAATCTGCAAAAGCAAAGATCACTGAACTCAAAGCACACCATCTATGACTCTGTGGTTGACACTGAGAGTTATTCTTTCTTGACAATCAACACATCTAAATATATATATATACATATATATTGGGTGGTCTAAAACCATTTGTGATTTTGAAGGTGCCTGCAATGAACTACTAACGTGAATATTTAAGTATTTAACCAATACAAGAACCCTTTAAATGGTGACAATATGAGAAAATGACATGATAACAACCAATCACCAGTTTGTCCCTCTGAAACTAGACTACTTTATTATTAACAGACTCACCTCTTTGCAGATATCTATAGAATTAATTACAAAACAGTCCTGGCAAAACAAAACAAAACAAAAAACCAGTCCTGGCAAAGTATTAATCAATCAGTACAGATCACCTTGTTTTCAGAATAATAAAATACTTTTTTGTCAAGTACACTATGTGCTGAACACAAGGCTTGTTTTGAAATTGTTTTTACAACAAAAAATTTAGGAAATATTCCTAGTGAATCTGGCGGCAGTCTTTCAAGTGGTCCATTTAAAATTATCACTGGTTATTATACAAAATGGCAGCTTACCAAAAAATGAAAATAATATCCATCTGTGTTAATGCTTTAGAATAAGAATTTAACAACAGAGAAGTAAATATAGTGTCTCTGAATATCATGAACAAAATCAGAGCCCACAGTTAGATATTTTCAGATATTGAAGAAGAAAGAAACTTCTGCTGTGCTGAATCTCTTCTCAGTGCTCAGAATATCAAATGATATTTTTCATCTATGCTGGACCTCTTTGAAGAGTACTGTTTCACATTCTCCTTCCACTGTAACAAAATGTATTAAACAAAATCTTTAGATTACATTTAAAATCAGCTGAAAATCTTTTGGCTAGGTTCTTGGCTCCATAGATCAGTTATCTGGGAGGAGCCCTGGGCTCTCAAATACCAGAAACCTCAGTAACAAGCACTTGCTTATGAAAAGCATAGAAAATGCACTATACATGTAAATAGGTGTTTCTTTGAAATCGCTACATTCAAAAACTCCATTTTTCTCTTTATTGGCCTAATCACATGTGTAGTGCTTTTATTTTACCTTTTACTTGATTGAATAGTTCCTGGGATCTTCAAAGCATACCAGCCATCCAAAGCATAACAACTGGTCTGTATTCATATGGAGTAAGAATGGAAGAAAGAGAAATAGGAGAAGGAAATGAATGTATGGCTAATTGCCTTCATCAACAATTGGCTCCTGTGCCCTGAGACTGAAAGAACCAGCTGGTGCCTAAATGTTCTTCAGTATTTTGAGCAAATATTCCACAGAAGAATACTACTCAAAAGGGGTGAAATGCAGAACAGAACTTTCAAATTCTTGTAGAATCTAGATTTTTCAGGAGCTGTGGACACTGGATGAACCCCTGTGATTACTGCCCTAAATTAGACTTCAAACAGTAAACCAATAATATCTCCTCAAAGCTTCTTAAAACCAACCAGTTGCTTAACTGAATTGATAAAAAAAATACCTGACTTGAGCATTATGCAATTTTACTCAAAAGATCAGATAGAAAACTTAGGGGGCTGTGATACTATGCTAACAAGGGAGGAACAACTCAGAAAATAAAAGGGAGAATAGTTGCACAACTTGAGGAATGCATCAATACTACTGAATTTTACAAGTAGAAACTGTTGAAATGGTAATAAGTTTTATCATGTATATTCTGAGCTACTACTAAAAAGTTGATTTTAAAAGTTATGTTTCACATATTCTTGTTGATGAGCCAAACTGCTGCCTAATCCAGTTTTGTTCAAGAAACAGAGGTATTTGGACATTTCTGACTTTTTCCATGTTGAATTATTTTTCTTTACTTGATTTTGAATGATTGCTTTTGCTTATAAAACTTGAAATGACTGGTACTTATGGGCTCCAGTTACTAAGTAACACACAGTGAGACAACACAGCTTGAGTTGTCATTTAGGCTAAATACTCATGGTTCTTGGTCTCCCACCTAATCCGTTACTATATACCACCACCACTACAGTGGCCTTCTATCTTCACAATCAACCGCCTTCATATGGTTATCTGACTTTAAGTAGCCTTCATTGATTTCACTTGCTTATAGAGAAGGCTGAACTCTAGACACAATCGACTCTGTGGCAGCAAGCTTGATTTTTCACTCTAAGAAAAGATGAGAATTGGAAAATGTGGAAAGGGTTACATTTAAAAAACCAAACCCCCACAAAAACCTCAAGAACAAAGAATTGGAGAGAAGAATTAAAAAGAAACAGCAACTCTCATTTATTTTGCTGTATGCATCTCTGAACTTTGTAAGCATTTTAATCTTTCGGCATTTGGTAGCCGTAAAACAAGAAGCTATGGTATTACAAAAACACAGTTTACAGATCCAAGAAAGGTAATTCCCAAAAGGTAGAAAAATTATAACAGGATAAGACAGGAGAATTTTACTTACTTTTTTTTTTTTACATACTTTTGACCTACATTGTATACGTACACATATCCTTCATTTCCAGCAAACTTGAAAATGTTTGCACTGTGAACCAACAACAGCACTATAAGGGGAAAAGACATTCTAAATTATCTGAATAGAAGTGGAGAGTTTGGAGTAGTTACTTAAAAGGTTTCCCACAGTTGACAGAAGGAACCTCCATTTGTAGACGAAAATGAATGTCACTGGATATAGAATTTGTGTGGCCAGTGCTTTAACAAAAAGCCCTTGTATAGGAAGGTGGCTTAGTCCATAGGGAGTTGCACTGCTAACCAAAGGCTGTGCCTCTCTGGTGATTCAAATTCACAAGCAGCAGCATTGGAGAAAGATGAGCAGTGTCCTCCTATGCAACTTACAGCGCCAGCATCCTCCTGGAGGATGAGCTGTGGGTTCTGACTTGACAGTAATGAGACCGGGTGATGACACAGAGTCCTTTTTCTCAAGCCTTTATTGCCTTTGGGTTTACCTAACAAAGAAGCTCAGTGACACGTTCTATGAATCCTTGAGGGCCTATATCTGTATTGTAAATTTGTAAATAAGTACAAATGCAAATTTTTAAATAATCTGTGGGATATTTCTATTTTAAAGTCTTACATCTTATGAAGTAGAATTCTTAATTGAGCAGAATACCTTGTCACATAAATGACAACGTTGTAAGAATCCATGTCCTTAACATAACCCTTATTTCTGTTAACTGTTGAAAGACCGTGGAAAAATCTGTGGATACTGTCAACGTTTGGGTTTGTTTTTCTCTGTGTGTTATAATAAATTTATGGTATTCCATACATCTTTGTGCATGTGTCTTTAATCTTAAAATCTAGCTGCATGCATTTGCATGGGTAGCTGATTTTTAATGAATACTCATTTCACACATTGGTTGTGCACCTGCTATGCTGTGAATGCTGTGCTAGACCCAAGTGACAACACAGATGTAGTTCAGAGATGGCCTGTGACCTAGTTGGATCTCTTGGAGTTTATCGACCAGCAGAGAGAATGATATCAGTATAATAATGTACAGTAGATAACAGCATATGATAGTGGTCACATGAGCAAAAGCTCTGACACATTTTCTTTGACAGTAAGCAGAAATGATTCTATGAAGGAATTTTAATTTCTGTGTTTGCAAAAGACAGAATTTCAAAATATATGGTGTGTTAGTGGGAGATGCATTTTAAATGGAATGAGATACCAAATTAAGGCCCAGAAAAAGGAAAGTATAAGAAAACTTTGGAGGATAGGCAACAGACTGGTTAGAGGAGGGTTTCTCCAGGTGCTAGTGAGAGATGATAGAGTGGGCAGAAGTCAAAGAGGGATCTGGTTCTGGAGCAGCTCTCCTGCTTCAGCATCTGATCCTGATGCTCCAGGCCAACAGCAGCGTTGAAAGAATTTTGAAAGGAGAACAGTATGATCAGAGTAAGGAGGACACTCTCTCATCGGGAAGTTAGAACAGGCCATGGCTGGGTCCTCCACTGGGTTTCCGAGATTTTAAATCACATGGGAGGAGACTGTCCATCCTTCTTCCCAGAGCAAAAGACAAACCAATGGGCTAGGAAAGCCATCTAGATAATCACATTGTTCCACAGGTTGACAGACTAAACGAGTTGATAACCATCACAGCCAACTTGTAGTTGACTCTCCAGAGGCAGTAAATCACAGAGGAGGAGACTTAGCATATTTCTCCCATGGGGGGCTGATGGTGGCTTTGAACCGTGTTCCTTTGAGTAGGTAGCTCTGGTGGGTTAGTGGTAAGGAGTTGTGCCACAAACTCAAAGGAAAATGTAGTACATCTGTACAATAAAGTATGATGTAGGTGAAAGGGAATGAGGAAGCTTTACCCATAAAGTTATCCAGGAAGAAGATATCCAAGGGGGAAAAAAATCACGAAAAGATCAAGTTCAGAACTTTATTATTTGCTATCTTTATATAAATATATCTTGATTTTGCTATCTTTATATAGATATGCACATTCCTATATGTATTTTGGTTGTTTTGTTGTTGTTGTTATGTGCCCTCAAGTCACTTGTGACTCATAGCAAAACTGTGTACAAGAGCCCTAAGCCCTGCCCTATCCTGGGCCAACCTCACTATCTCTGACACACCTACTACCGTTACCGCAGTCAATGAATCGATCCATTTCATTGAGGCTCCTCCTCTCTGCGCTGTCCCTCCACCCTCCCAAACATGATGTCCCTCTCCAAAGACCAGTCCCTCCATGCAACATGCCCGAAGTATGTCAGAGAAAGCTTCAAAATCCTTG